TGTGCAGGCATGTCTGTGTCATCCTCAGTCCTATATGAAGACACAAAAAATTTTAAATCAACTCCACTGGTCACTCCAGCAGAGCTGCAGATGCTTCAGCTCTGCCAGGACTCTACTTTAAGTGCTGCAGTGAGTATAGCATCTCCTTGCCTATATGGAGTTTCAAAGTGATTCTAAAAATGTGCTTGCAAAACATGAGAGCATAGAAAACAAATCAGCAGAGAAAGGGAATCCTTCTGCTTCAAGGTACTGGTTAGTATTCCAAGTGGCATCCAGGTTTCAGATATGGACGCTGAGAAGTATATAGAATTGATTTTTACATTGTTTAGCAAAGTAGATGATACAATTATTGCAGTATTAATTTAAGTATGCATCATTATCAAATTTAGTCTTTCATATGTGTGGCTTACCTTTTAAGAGCAATGCTTTAAGAAACAATTTATTGGTGAGAATTTAATTTCTCCTGATATATAGTGCATCTTGCTCTTAATGTGCTTAGTTGTATGGCTTCATTTCTTTTAGACAGGATCCCTAGGAAACTTTTTGTCTGTAAGATATACTGAAGTTACATTTTGTTAAAATATAACTTGGGTTTTCTATATTTTCTGTATGATTTTTGTATGTTTCATCAGATGTATAAGCATTGCCCCAATAGATTATTTTACTCTTTGTCATACATGTGTACTTATTGAACTTTAAAAATCAATATTACAGAAAAGTCTATGCAGTGGGGGTTCTATAATGTGTGGCTGTAGTGATCTCATCTAGAACAATAACCCGGGGGAAAGGATTTGCCTCTTCTTTGAGGCATCTCTTACATAGATGAATACATTAAGCAGAGATTCATTCTGCAGAAGGAAAATTGAGTAAGTCCTTGTATGAAAACTTTGGATTGAGAGAGGAAGGAGTTTTCTGAGGGAGTCCAGTAAACAAAGTTACAGCTCTGTAGTTTTGTGTCAACATTACATACCTCTGATTTGCTGTATTGTAGCAATTACCCATTCCCTGACCAGTAACATAAACTGCAAACATTCCTGAACTGCTTAAAAAAATTGTGGAGTCATAAAGCAGTAAAATTTACAGAATTGTGAGTTAGTTTGGGTTAACAGATAACTTCTTGTACAAGATCCTGTAGGATTGTAAAAGCTATTTTACTCCTTAAGATTTTTTTCTTACAATTGTATTAAGATGTTTTGAGTATGATTTATTTAAACAAAACAATAATGCTTTTACCGACTGTAAGAATATAAGTGTGTTTTGTAGGACTGTATCTTCTGAATGGTTCTTGTAAAAGTCATCTTTCAAAGCCAATAGGATCAATTTAAACATAGTGTCATAAAATACAAAGAAGCAGTGAAAAAAATTAGACCTATGTCCAGCAGGCCTCATGGGACACAGCTGATGCTGACTTTTCAGTGGTCTTTTGTTCACAGACAAAGGACCTACTCAGGATCCACACAGAAGCCACCTCTTGGGATATTAAATTGTGTGTTCAGTGGATTTGTTGTCTTGCTTGAATTTGGTTTTGGTATCAGTACTGGAGAATAGTGACACCATAGAACAAAGAGTTTTTTGGTTGCATTTCTAATATAACCTGTAAGGTACAGGACTTATTTTGGCTGCTATAAATTAACTGTGTGCTTTATTGAATACTGTCATGCTTACAGTCCCTCTTGAAAGCCACCAATCCCTCATTCTTCTTGATGAAAATAATGTGTGGGAATTCAGGTTCAGAAACTTCTGCTTAACTGAGTGACAGGGAATATGGTTCTTATTTGGCTGTTGTGCTGCAGACCAGGCAGTCCATTCTTGCACTTAAGCTTTGTAGCTGAAAAAGAAAAAATACTGGATGTCTTCATATGTTTTGAGTAACACTGGGTGTTGACAATGTTTATTATTTTGGGGAGAGTACTGAGCATTCCTTCAGCTGTGCCATTTTATTACATTATTTCCTATTGCTCTGTGTTGTGGAGGGGTAGGCATGTGCTGTGCTGGTGTTGAATAGGATTGTGCCTTGGCATGCTAAATACTGTCAAATCCATCTGAAGATCTAGTTCTGAGTAATTTATAACCAGGAGAGTTCATCAAGAAGGGGGAAAATTCTTTTTTGAAAGCCTAATCTGGTGACAAATTGACTGGAGATTCAAGTAGTCTCCATAAATCCCTTGGCTTTTTGAGAGTGCTCCAGTAGTAGTGGTTGCACAGCCCTTCTCCCTGACATGCTAAGATACTCAGGATGCCTGGGCATCCTGATTGAATCACCCAGCACATGTCAGCCATCACTGGTTATTTGGAAAAGTAGATACACTGCTGCCAAGTGAAATTGTGCAGGAAAAGAATGCAGCTCCATGCTGGAGCTTAGGGATGGTGTAAAAATTAATGTATCCTATTAAAGCTAGAAAGGAAAATTAGGCAGGGAGATCACTAGTTGATGTGGGATTTAGATGTAGCACTAGAACTGTGCTCTGTTGCTGGTTGTTCAGTTTGTAGGACTCTTCTGGGGTGAACAAAAAGTAGACTTTTTGCATCTTCATGAATTAAAAAATAGTATTTCAAGTGAAAATAAAAACTGCTCATATCCCCAAAGGATGCTACCTTTGTAGCATTGTACTTTTAAAAATATGAACTGTACACTTTAGGAAAGGAATGATTAATGAAGGAGGGAATGCTTCCCTAAGTCACTAAGAAAGAGGGAGTGGTATCTGTGGTGTGGAAGAGGCATTTGCATCCTATTTTCCTAATTTCTCAGTCTGCTCTTAAAATGTGTCCTCAGTACTGGATGCTTTGCAGTGGTTTTCCACCACTCCACGGCTTCACTTTAATATAAGTAACCATAGATTCATTACATATGCATGTCTGTACTTGAGAGAAGGTAAATTACTGATTCTGATCCATGCTTTAAGTTACGGGCTAATTATTTTATTGGGGGTGGCCAGAATATTCAGTGTACCCATGAAGGTACAGGTGTCCCAGGTGGGTCAGGCACAGTCATGAAGTCAGTGAAAGGCAAATTTGGTTTTAAAGGTAAAATTTAAAAGGTAAAAGTGAGGTTTTAAGGGCAAAAGAAGCTGAGCTCACATGCAGAAGTAGCTCTTTGTACCCAGCCATATCCCGCATTGATCCAGAGCTTTGTTTCAAGGCTGTGCTTTTGGTTTGGATGATTTGATGGAAGCCCAGCACAAGGTATTGTGATGTGGCCTTAAAAGAGCTGATCTCTCTCTCACTGCGTGGGTTATAAGTGGTCCTAAGTGCAATTGCTTCATCTTTACCTGCCCCAAGGACAGCTATCATAGATAGCTATCATAGAAAGAGTTCCTCCTGGAGACCCCCTCAAGGTGGGATCAAAGCAGAGAATTGTGAGCTGCTCCATTATAATGTGTAGACTGCTGTAAGGTGTTCCCTAATCTTCCTATCTATGTGATAAGTACATGAATTTTCACTCAATGATCTTGGAGGTATTTTACCACCTTAATGATTCTATGATACTATATATTTATATATATGTCTGTGCACATATCCTTTTCTTTCATTATGTTTTTCATTTCTCTGATTAAAATGCTTGTGACCAGCTAGAATTTCTATGAGGAGAAAGAAGAAGCATTGCATCTTTTTAAACTTTAATGATTGATAAAATTTTTCCCTTTTTAAATTTGAGAATGTAATCAGGTTACAGAATACAAGTCATGTTTCTGCCTCAATGTGAGCTCCTCTGGTTGTTACATCCCAAGGCCTTTATTACATGGAGTCATCAAGACCCTGAACAAAGACAGTCAATCTTTATATAGTGAAAAAACAGCTTTCTTTTAGTTATTTAGTAAAAATAATAATTCTAAAAGCAATCATTTTGCCTTTCCAAGCATTTTACACTATTTTGTTGTGTTTATTCTAACCAGAGGAATACGATCCTCTCCTAGCAGTGAAACTTCCATTGAACTCTAATGGAGGAAATCTAGATCGAGGCACTTTCTTTTAATTATTAATTTAGTTTTTTTAGTGTTTGTGAATCTTACTGAAAACTTGGTGGCAATACAATTACAAAAGCATGTGCAGATATCTCAGTGTCATATACATGTTTGTGTACATTTCTGGAATCTGTTTGGGAGGGGGAGAAGGACAGATGAAGTCTGATTCTCCATGTTCCTCTATTTTCTTCTCTGTAAGATGGCGAAGTTTGGATTTCATGCAATTTTACATGTCACTCATGCTCTTGGCAAGTGACTACACAAAGATAATAGCAGCCGGAGAAACAGAGCTTTGCTCCTCTGGGCTCTTACAGAGAGGCTGGATTGCTCTCTTTGAGCCAGCGCATGGATGAAAGTCTGCTATCAAAGCCTCATTTACCAAAGAGGTAGATAGCAATTTTATGTATTGAGGGAGTAGAAAAAACCAGCCTCACTCTTGGACACCTGCCTTTCAGATACACATGTCAGTCACAAAACAGAGAACTGAGTGCTGCAGATGCAAAGCAAACACTTTCATGTCTTCTCTGAATATGCTTTAAGGACAGTTTTCCTGCATGGGTATCTGTAATGGTTATTGTCTATAATTTTGTAGCTTCTGCAAGTTGTAATTTGGTCCAGGCCCCATAGCATCCAGATGGTTTTGAATAAATGGAAGTTGAGCACTTGTTATAGATGCTATTCCAAAGATAATTTTGCCATTAGCATTTGTGGTGTTGCATATGTTGTTCATGACATACAGCTAATGACATAAAGCAATAACATCACCATCCCTGGAAGTGTTCTAAAGGCATGTGGATGTGGCACTTGGGGACATGGTTTGCTGGAGAACACAGTGGTGCTGCTTTAATAGTTGGACTCGATGATCTTGTAGATCTTTTCCATCCATAGTGATTTTATGATTCTATAAACATTTGCTGTAAATGTTCCTTATATGTGTGAACAGTGCCTCTCAAAATGTGTAGTTAGCATTTGAGTGTTTAGATACTTTCCAGAGCCAATAAAGACATTGTTTTGCTTGGGTTTTTGTATTTTTTTTAGATACTGACCGAGCTTTAGTGCTGCTGGAGGAATATTGCAAAAAACTACGGAAGCCAGAAGAGCAACAATTGAAAAAAGCCATCAGAAAGGTGATGGGCATCTTTAAGAGCAGCTTGTTCCAGGCACTTCTAGGTAGGTACTAATGTCTAATACTAGGTGCACTCTCTTGGAGGTCAGAGCTAGGTTAGACCTAGTAACTTTCTTATTAGTCACTATTTATTTTGTATATATGGTGAAAAGTGTGTTGAGGTGATCCTTACAGGCTCTCTGAGCAGAAACTCATTGTTCTGATATTTCAAAGGTATTTTCTTACTTTCAGAGAAAGAAAAGTAACACAGACCTAACAGAAGTTAAGGTATTGAATAGTTACTCCTAAACCTTGCTACTTTGCTTTATTTAATGCAAGATACTGAGTCAGAGTAGGATATAACTGTTTATGCAAAGCTGAAGATTAAGCCATCTCCACAGGTAAATGGCCAAAGTTTGCTTGATTTCACTGGCACCAAGTAGCATTGAAAATCTTTGTGTCTTTTGAATTATGTTTCTGTGAAAAGTGAGAAACTAAGCGAGAAACAGAGAAACTAAAAAATGAGCTAAGAAAATTGCTCCAGGACACAGTTTGGCAGAATGTTCCCATTCATGTGATGTTGCAGTGTTGAAATAGATGTGCTGGCATATCACTCATTCTTTCTTCCACTTACTTGAAGATCCCCATTTCATCTTGTAAGTGATGTTAAAATCAAGGGCTTGTTGTTTTGGAGCTTTATATAAAGCAGCCTCCATAAGTTGTTATATATGATGTTTTCAAGGTCATGAACATACCTGTTTGCCTTGGCATTCTTGTTGTTCCTTGTTCTGTGCCCGAGCTGCCAGTTATGGGAAGTGGTGACTGTGACTGTGCATGTCCCTTGCTCTACCTCCCTCTGCCCTTTTGCTCACATTGCATGGCCGTTCCTTCACACACATCTATATTTTGTGAAGAACTTGCCTCAAGGGTGCATTTCTTAATGCAAATCATATTTGTGGAAGCACACATGCCTTCAACTTATGGCTGTTTGAAGCCAGAGTATCAGCTGTGCTCCTTGCAGAGCACAGTCAGGACCAGTTATGGAAAAATTGTGATTAATGTCATAAAAGTGGAAGCACATTAATAATGCATTAATACTGTGAAGACAATGGAGGTCTGGAACTAGTTTCAGGAATTTCTGTAGCGTTCGTGGAAAATATGTATTGCCAGTCTCTAACATTTCCTGCAAATGGAATTGATTAATGTTAATGCTATTTCACTTATAACTTTAATTAACTTATTTAAAGCGATTAGCTTTATTTTATAAACTCTACATAACTTTAATGCTCTGTATGCTTTTAAAAAGGAAATAGATTAATAATGGAATTGAATTTACCAAATAGTTGTAAATAGATTTAAAAAAAAAAAAAGCTTGGACCTTTCCATATTGTTTTTATGAAGGTGACTATGGATATAGAAATGTATACTAAAGAAATATACCAGTCACAGAAGTGACATTAGCTGTACATTTACTTCTGCACTACTTGGAAGTAATTAGAATACTTCAGAGTATTCTAACAACATGTGTGCTTTGTGTGTGGCTACGCTACAAGATCTGCTGATGTATTACACATGTTAGAAATGAAAAAGTGATTGTAGCTACATTAAAGTTGAACCCAAAGAAGAACTTGCATCCTTTGATTGCTGCAATAACAGGTTGAGGAGTATGGTGTTACAGAAGTTGGCATTTTAATCTGTGGGCCTTTAGATGTCTTTTCTTTCTTCTTAAATCTTTCCTTTTATAGAAGAGATTTGGGAATTGTGAGACATGTTCAAAGTCTTTCATTATTACATTTGCTTTGTTATTTGGTTGGTCTAGATTCTGGAACAATACTGAAGAGAGATCTCCCTTCTGTGAGAGGAGACATCCTACACATTTTAAATGTGGTAGATGATATTACACAATCAATAATGAGATTCTTGCATAATTAGTATTTAAAAAGACCCTCACTTCCGTAACATCTGTTTTAGCTTCATGGCGTAATTTCTCTATTCACCTATAAATCAGACCACCACACAAAGGAATACCTAATGCAGAGCTTCTGGTCTCTTTTTAAGTGCTGTACTGCTTATGTTCCTTTGTCTTTTATATTTACAGACTGTCTAATGGTCTTGAAAGTGTCCATTTTTCTGTGCCTGATTTTAATGAGTCTTAATTTCCAGAGTCTGAGTTCATTGCTTTCCAAAACTCTCTCATTTATAGCTGTCAAATATTGGTTTTATCCAGAATGATTGACCTCTCCAATATTTAGGCTGTAACTACTAGTGAAAAATGTGGTTTTTGTACACAGTCTTTAACCTGGATGCAGAGATACACATTCTTACCAGGAATAAAGTTTACATAGCTTTTTTATTTTATGTGCCAAATTCAGTTTTTGTAGGTTCCAGAGCTTCAGTGGAATTTAGTTCCTTTACAAATAAATTAATCCATTGTAACCATTTCTGTCCTTTAAGTGTGGGTTCAATTCTTATTAACTTCCAAAAGGCTTTAAAAATCTGTAGGGTGTCTTAAATTGAGTATAACAAGAACAGATAAAGAAAAATAATAACCGAGTCACTTTTCAAACCTATTGCTGTCTAGTTCCTTTTATTCTCAAATTTATGCTTGTGTGATTATGCTGATTTGATTCAGTTATCTTTGAACTTAGCTCCTCAATGTGTGTGTGTGTGACTATTTTTATCTTCAATGTGTTTCATAAATATTAAATGTGGACTACTGAAGTGGAGTAACATGAGAGAAAGGAAAATTCAATATTTTTCTTCCATATATTCTACACATGCAAGAAGCCACTACAATCACGTAAGGAAAAGTTCTGTAAGTGATTTACAGGAAGATTATTAAAGGATCATCCTTTTACATATTAATTCTGGTTCAAAAGCATTCCCTTCTTCCTTGGGGCTGTTCTTGTTGCAGGACTTCTTGCTACAGTAGCTGTGCTCAGTGACAGCTGAGTTAGTTGCTAAGAGGCACATTTTCAAAGTGACATGTGGAACTGCAGTCTCTGGAGTCCCACTTACACTCCAGTGGCCCAAACACAATGCTTTGAAAATCCAGCCTTAAGAGGAGGGAGAAGGAGCAACTCTTCAGAAGGAGCATGCAAGGAGAAGAACATGAATTTAGATATTGACATTACTCTTAAGTTAATTCTAGATTTCTTTCACCAGAAGGATTTTACCTATTCTTCTATGGGCAGTGAGGAGTTATGCTGTTTTTAGGACCTTGTAAGGCTTTTTTTCTTTTTGTAGGGTCGTCTTTCACTAGCTGATATTAAAATCACAAGGTTCTCTTAAATTGTAGCACATGTGCTGATGAGAACATTTTTAAAACCCTGCATGGAAGAGGAAATGAAACCTCCAGAAATCCAAATGTCTCATTTGTTGGGATTGTCTCATAATGGGGCATCTTGGAGACATCATGCTGAGATAAAAAAGGGAAATCATGAAAGAGAGTAATAATAGTCATCTGGATGTGTCAAAGCAACCAAAAATTTTTTTTCCAGTTCTGTTCTTTAGGAAACTTCATAAATTTTAATAATGCAGTACATAGTTAAGTAGAATTTATTTTGAGAAACCTCTGCTATATATTTGTCTAGCCTTCGATTTCATTAAGAAAAGTGCATGATTCCACAGCTTAAAGGGTGGTTCTCTGAAATGAGAATGGATAAAAGAGGTTTATATCAGGGTTGTTTGGGTGTTTTTGTAGATACATCTCTATAAAACATCATTTTGTTTCTAGTAGGAATTAAAGTGCCACAAATAACTGTAATCATCTTATGCAGTATTAGGTAAAAACTAATCTCTATAGGTTTTTCTAAAATTCGGATAAACCCAATCTGCAATTGGTGACGTATTTCCTGAGGGCTTTGAAACCATGTCTTATGTTTTTTTCTCATGCTTGCGTAACTTTGCCTGAGTTTTAAAATACCATATTTCCAATTAAAATCTGCATCACTATTTTTTTTTGTCCCTAAGTGGTATTGTACCATTTTTGCAGAATAATGTGGATGTTCTAAAACTGCTCTGAAAAATTGCTGTAGTAAACATTACTGTTATAGAATTTACTCACAATCTGTGTCACAGCCTGCACTTAGAGACTTAGGGTACAATGTTACATTTCCAGTAGGCTGGTTTTTTTAAACTCTTCCTCATCCAGCTCACTTTCAAATAAACCTTGTTGTAAAAATCCATTTTAAAAGAGTGATTGTGCCTTTTAAATCAAGTCAAAAAGGAAGTCAGATGATTTTTCTGAGATCACATATTACTCTTCTGTTAAAAGATTGTATAAATGAAGTGGAAGTATAACTCAATAGTGTTCCATTAGTCTCCAAAATTTCAGAGATCTAGTTAAATCTTGTATTCTGCCATGTTATTGGAAGGTACCTAGGACAGATAGGGTACATGAAGAGAACATTTCAGAGATTGAAAGCAAGTTTCCCTTCAATTTAATTATTTTAGGACATATGTATCTATTAAAAATAGCATAGCCTTTGAGAAATGCAATTATTTATTATACCTAGCATGAAGCAAGCCAAGAGCTGTATTTCCTATGGATTTGTCTTAGTTTGACTGACCTCAGTGTCTACAAAGTTGTGAGCTGGGACTGACATTTTTCTTGCCTTTTGGGCCATTGTTAAATTTCTGGATAGTTTAGAAAAAAAAAACTGGAGAGGAACCTATCATAGGAGTAATGATGGAATGTTGGAATATGTCACTGTCATAAAAAGAAAACTCTAAGAATGAAAAATGAGGAAGATTTTGATAGGCATAGCCAGGCATGTCGACTAAGAATAATGATGGAAAATGTCCCCCATGTTATGAAGGCTTTAATGCTGAGAAGAATGATGATACTGTTGACCATATAGGGAGAAGAAGAAAATATAGATTAGTGGGAAGAGAAGGGATTTGTTTAGGCATGTTGTGTTTGAGGAGAAGGTTTTTTAATTAAATTTGAGAATAGAGGGAAGGAGGTAGGTCAGGACTGGGAAACAGATGTATGAAAAGCAGGATGCATGATAAGAAAAACAGACCTGCTTCACAGTCCTGGGCTGGAGATGGGGTCTGTACC